ACCTGAGACAGCGGCAGCGAGGGGATGACGGTGAAAAGGAGCAGAGGTGGGATGGAGAGGGGACCCACAGACCATATTGCTCTCGGTGCTCAACATGCACGGCCACCCCGTCGCTTCATGTTGAAGTTACAATTTGCCAAAGATGTCTGCCAAAGAAAAAAAACAGTAATAGGAAGGAAAATAAACCTGCTAAACTATGAATCACATGAACTCCATTTTCCCTAATGCCCCAACATGGCCCAAGTGCTTGTTTGGGAGGTGGCGGAGATAATTTCTTACAAGTGGCATCATGTAAATCAAAACAGAAACATGAATAGAGAAGGAAAGGCTGAGAAGAAGAAAATTAGAGAAGAAAAAAAAATTATCATCTTTATATATGCACCCAGGGATGTACACACATACACCACATACTAACAAACCTACTTTTATAATGCTGGTTTGTTTCTCCCAAATCCACTATTTCCACATGCAATTGACTACTTATTTTAGGCACTTAATAGATATTAATATTGCTCTTCATTTTAGATACATCAATTAAATAACCAAAAAGGCACAGAAAAATGAGCAAAAAATAAGTACAAATGACACATAATTCCTACCAGTCTTAGATTTCTAGAATAATTTGCAAAGGGCCCATTAAAAATATCTCAAGATATTTGCACCTGTATGTCCCAAATCCATTCTGAAAACATAACAAGATCCTTGAGGCCTTTTTTTCAAGCTCTTATAAAAATTCCACGACTTCCTCAAAACATTCTGTGGATTTACAGGAAATACAGCAAAGTACAATGCCCCCACACTACTGTTTTAGCTCCGAGTGCACTTTTAAAGGAAATCTCTCCCACTTGCCTCTACTTTTGTTTTGCACCTTGGAGCAGTCACAGTTCATGTGAAACAGATTCCTTCCCAATAAAACCAGGATTAAAAAAAAAACAAAAACAAAAACAAAACACAATAAAATTAAAAAACCAAACAAAACCGAAACAGGTTAAAAAAAAAGGATGTGCACGAGGGCTTACGAACCATATCCAAATTGCTCGTGGGTTTCCAGTCATGGGACCACACCAGGATCAATATTCACAACTCAAAACAAAGTCCACTTCAGCATGTCTCTGCTCAGGCTCTCAACCCACACATGTCCCTGCGATGCTCAGCAACGCCGTGGTGCCAATGAAAGTGTATTACAGTGTAAGTAATCCGTCAGCCTGTTCTCCCTCGACCATCCGAAACCACTGAGCCACAGACACTGGTTATCTGCAGGATCCCCTTCTCAAAGGATGAGCCTGTGGTTTCTAACACCACCGTTCAATTACAGTCAGCATAGTATCAAGA